CCTCTTTCTTCCACATTTTGTTATGAATAACAAGAGTTGGTTCATTAATCTGCAATGCTTAAAAACACCACCAGAAATAATCACTATTTTCTAGCTACAATGACCTAAATAAAATAAATAAGATTTTTTTAATGTATGTTTTTTTTTCTACCCTGCCAGAAAGAAGGTAGGAAGCTATTAAAAAAAAGGAAATTTCTAGAGGCATGGGGGTGACCGCCGACGTTTGAATCAAAGGTTACCCCTGTGCACTTGACGTTGTTTGTATCTTCAGCTGACCTGCGGAAAAATATTCGCACTGGACAAACAATCGCCATGTGAATAAAACTGCGCGCGAGGATATGATTGATCTCCCCATCTACGTCAGGGGGGAAGGGGGGGGGGGGCGTTTACCCCTGCATCGTGTGGTGTGTGAGTGTCAGCCGGACGTCTGACTTTAGCCTTGTGTAAAAGATTCCAGATCAAATTAAGGGGCGCTAAAGAAATGACACCCAGCAGACTTGGCTGAAGTCGAATGCTAGGCACCACTTCATGAACATGCGTCCAGTGGTTTTTATTGAAAGAGATGTGCTTTGTACATTTCGGCGTCACCAGGCACATTAAGCAAATCGCTATCTGGCATAAACCACGGTGCACTCGGGTGATTACCATGCAGGCGGCTTCATGTTTGAATCAAATATTGCCGGCTTTATAGCATTCTCAAGCTGTGTGACAGTTTTTTTTTTATCAAGGTAGTCCCGAATTTTGTGGTGAAAAAACTAAAATAAATTAATTGCCTTGTCTATTCTAAGAAATTCGTTACAACTCTTGAATGACTGCAGACATGAGACCAATCTTTAAATTGATAAAGAGATAAAGCGAATGTTTAGAATGTAAAAATGATTAAGAACGTCGAACATAATTTGGGATAATATTATGAACAAATCGCCTGTTGTTGACCTTGACATTATTCCTAAAATCAGAAAAAATACAAGTTAAACGCTCGCTACCTATCTGTACGGGTCCCCTATATCAACAAAATCCCTTACATCGCAAGACTATGCCTTAAGGAAACAGGTATGGTTGTTCTATTCGACGAAAATTTTTGTTATCTTCCTAACGCCCAATCATAACTATACAGGCTGCTTTTTAGACTTGGCTGATTTACTTAAAGAAAACAAAAAGCCGTGAAAGCTACACTAATGTGGTTTGTGAAGATGAGTTGTACGGTCAGAGGGGACACCATATAGTTGGCTATAAGTCACAATAAGTTGAATAAACAAAAGAAAATGTTTATTAACTGGTTAATTAGACAAAATAAATATATAGCTCCCATTAGAAACTTGCTTAGCGTCATCAAAGGCCACTAAATTAGCCATTTTTAGAATAAGTTTTGGGCGCGTGTGAACCGCAGTAGTGCGCTAAAGTTACGACTTGTGTAACACACGCACGGCTGGCGGTAAGAAAACACGTACGATAAGTGATACGAAAACCGCTTGGGCGCGTTATCTCACCGGGTAGCCGTGCGCCTGCTGCACGAGTGGTAACTTTAGCCATAGCCTCGTCTATACTCACAAAGCCTGACAGTTCGATGACGGAGCCATAGAGTGCCCGGTCGCAAATTTGTAGCACGAGGGTCTGGTAGAAGAGAGCATTTCTGGTATTTAGCGCACAGCTTCTGCAGCGTCCAGGACCCGAAACATGCTTCTCAAACCCAACAACAGTGCCTCCATACACACGCGCGCTTTGGCTTCAGTGGTGACATCACAGCCATTTTTCCACCCAATCGTTTTTTTTATGCATTCTGAAGTGCGCGCAATCCGCAGTCACTCAGCTCGAGCGCGTAGGTCTGGCTAAGGCTTAGACGGTATTTAACCGCCCAAGTCACGCACCGAGTGCGTGAGAGCGTCACGTGCTGGAACATTCAGGGCAACAATGGATGTCTTCACCCTGAGACAGACATACATGTAGGCACCCTAAACTCGACGAGAAAAGAAGCGGTAGCTTGAAGAACGCGAGGAGCACGAGCGGACATTCCATCGCTCGGGACAAGTGTATTTCGGCCTCTCGCCGCAGCGGGGCGCCCGTTACAAGCCCCTCCTCTGATCTGCACCACCTTTTCACTTTCGGCGGCCGCGTCTCGTGGCGATCTGCCAGCCTTTACCCCCCATTCACACTGGAAGCGGATCCGCGCTCGCGAAGCGGTTGCGAAAGCGGTTGTATAAAGACCCAGTGCAATGGCACGCGCATTTGATGTCATCGTGTGCGCGTGCAATTGTACTGAATCCTTATACAACCGCGTTCGCAACCGCTTTGCGAACGCGGATCCGCTTCCAGTGTGAATGAGCCCTTAGCGTGTTTCATATGCAGTGGTTTTGGCCCTAGAGCGGCGCGATTTCTGCCGTCGCGGCGCTCTGGCCAGCACCAGCGGTTGAGCAGCACGAGCGCCGCGACGGAAGAAATCGCGCCGCTGTAGGGCCAAAATCGCTGCATGTGAAACACGCTTTTGTCAGTATAGAGGAAGCTATGCTTTAGCGGTCCACCGTACTTCCCACGAGCTCCAAGTTTTTGTTAACATTTACTGATTTAGCGGCTTTAAATAACACGCTACAAGTTTTAATTGAACCTTATGTTAATTTTACTAATTAAGACGTTAATGAACAATTGAACTTCTGTTACAAGTCGGCTCCTATATGATGTCCCAACTCACCCGCACAGACCGCTTCAAAGTAACTTTCACGGCTATTTTTAAAATAAATCTATGAAGATCTAAAAAGCCAAAAAACACCCTGCACATTGCGCTTTTTATTTCGAATATTCCGTGACTATCACTGAGCAGACTTGAACTGTCGTAAGTAAATGGGCTCAATGTGCGTCAAGGCTAACGTTTTTTCTAAGTCACTTCCCTCCCATACGAATCCGGTACGCCGTCTGTGAAAATAGTCAAAACGTGCTTCAACATTAACTGCAGAAGTTGTGCACACAATGGTGTATTGGTAATATGTAGCAAAGATATGCATCAGACGACGGCATTTCACAAAGCAAAGTAAAAGAAAAAAATAGCGGTGACACGCGACAAAAAACACGAATAGAAAGCCTTCCTCAAGGCGCGTTTGGAAGATTAGAACGTCGAGCTGGAGGCCACATTATGGCGACCGCGTCATGTGATTCTGAAATGGCAATGGCCACGCGACGGGGACTGAAGAGGTCTATAGCGTTTATGGACGCGTCGAGGTGTGACTGCTTACTTTGTTTGGGTTTTCTTGTTTCTTTTAAATAAACGTTAGGCATGAATAAGCGCTCGTTCCGTTTGCTTCTTTTTCAACTCGTCCCACGTCATCCTTTCGGCACCGTGCGTTTCTTCCGTGACCAAGAGTCACCTCGACTCACTGATACTTTAATCTTACTAAGAGACAAAATATCCTCGTTGAGGTTCATAACGTATACTTCCAGTGAGTTTAAAAAAAAATTATATATATAGTGTTTCTACCAACCCTGATTACCGAGTGTTTTTATATCTTAGAACACACGAAAAGATTGCGAAGCGCATTGTAAGAAGTTTCGAAATTTATAATTTTGCTGGGTTTACTGCATCGAAGAAACTTTATGACCGACTCCGCAGGACTCCCTCTTCATCATCATGAGGACGTGGGTTTTTGCGTGTCTTATTGTCTGCGGAATTACACGGACTCTCGGGCTCCAAGGGGCTTCGAACGCTTTGGGCTCCTTGGGATCCTTGGGTTCCCTCGGTTCTGCGGCATCGAGATTGAACCCGGTCAAAATCGGCGCCAAGGCATGGGGCAACACCTTTGGAAAACTGACGAATACCTCGCTTGCGGATATTGCAAGACGGTTAAACGAAAAGTGAGTTGGGTTACCTCAGGACAATCCGGGCTGGAGTGATCACTTCTAGTTTAGTTGCAAATTTGTAGTGGAATTGTTTTTACTGTCAATTACAAGAAAAAAAGCATAGTGAGATTAATTTTTATTAAAAAAAACTTTTAATGTGTTATTACTGTATCCTAATTGAATAGTAGATGCAGTAGATTAGCGGTGAATGGGGTACTTAAAAAAATATCTGGCCTCAATAGAAATTGCCGTAGACATTGGAATTGCAAGATTATCCCTAATTCAATGTTAAAAAAAGGTAATTGAGAGATTTTAGTTAATTGGAAAACTTGACGATTATTCCCTCATTTAATGTCCGACGAGCCTGATAAAGACATGATTCATCGAACTCTCACATCTTTCAAAAGATAGTCTGTTCCAATTAAAACCGATTACATGCCCTCTTTCATGACGGTGACGTTTGCTCTGCTGAAAGTTAAAGTTCAATTTTATTAAACCCAGACGCATATATACAAAACCTATCACCAATGCCAGAAGAATGATCATATTTGCGACATAAACTGCAGGGGGAAAATGATTCACTTCTTAGTGCATGTACTTAAAGAAGCCAACCAACCCAATCACCTCAAATTGCTTGAACCGGCAGTTAGTACAATTACGTAAAAACAAACATGGGGCTAATCAAAAGAAAATGTAAGGCTGCTATAGTTGCCATTAAATGAATGCACGCGAAATTACGTTAAGCAGGCTAGTCTTTAGCCACTGGATCAGACATAACCAGTGGCTAAAGAAAAAATCAGACATATCTAAAGTATGAGAACTGCAACCCACGATTTTCTTGTGCGCGCGACCAACTTGGTGCCGCAAAGTGGGTAAAATTGGCGATCGTTACGGCACGACGCTGTGACTACCAGAGCTCTAGATACTGTGCCAGGAAACTCAGGCGATATAGTTTTTTTTTCTTGCGGCGGGCTGTCTTTTTTTGTTCTTGAAGATGTAAAATCGTTTTTTTGCGATAGAAGATAAAGCTTAAATTAGCTGCCTACAAGTTTTTCTTTTTAAACTTGAGCTCCAAGATGGCTAAGGAGTCTTTAGTCTGAAGCGTAGCTGATTTAGTGGCACTAGGTTACCAAGACCCGTGTTCTCATCGCTTTCTGATTTTTCACTGTTCACAGCACCATCCCAGGCGTTCGCCGAAGAATCCTCACCGATGTCACCCAGGGCGGTCACAGGATGGTCGAGGTGTTTCAGGACACTACCAACGATACCATACTCGACTGCAATAGCATCGGCGATAAGTAGGCATTGCACGCAATTCCACGTCAGCGCGTTGCATACCTTTTGCGCTCGGACAGAAGTCGTAAAACAGCAATAATTAAAAAAAAAAAGTCAAAGGTTCAGAAAGCATGAGGCTAGTAAAATATTGTTGTACGCTAAATATTGTCATTTATTCGTTGTCACCTAAATAAAAATCAAGCAAATTATGCGAGGAGTTCATACGCTGCGCTGAGTGGATCTTGCAAAGTTTGGTTGTAGGGAAAAAAAAAACGATTATATTTTTATTAGCTTAAAACGTGTACATTTTGATGAAACAACAAATGACTATTCTTAAATGCACTATCAAGCGTCTTAATCAAATGCGCTAAGGGGGAACGTACTAAGGCTTCATGAAGAGCCAAAACTGTTTTACGGCTGCTCTTGAGGTGAGGAAAAATACAGTAAATACGTTGTATGAAAAGAAATATTCAAGAATGCATGCGTCTTCTTTGTGAACTACACTCATCAACTACGCCATTGGATTTAGTTTTGGTCAGATAGGATATTACACATTTTACAAAAAACCTTGCGTTGTGGTCTTTTCGTCGAACTGCCATAAATTCGAACCATAATCATAGCGCGAGCATTTGCTGTACTAGCCTGTTTAAGGAATACTTTCAGATTTAATAAAATTGCAGTATGCATTCAAGTTTGATGACGATAGAATATTAAGTGTCAATAACAACTAGAGTCGCGAACACTTGATAAGGCCGGGGACCGCTTTTTAACCGTAGTGATAGGTAAATCCCAAACAGATTCGAAACTATTGCTGCTCAATTTAATAGCACCTACTTAAAAATAAATAAAAACATACTTAGTGTTGTATGCTAAAAATAGTGGTAAGAAAAGTAATTCTGACTTTTTTGCGAGTTACCTCTTTTGAATTCCACTTCCGCAATAAATCAGCAAAATATATTTTTTTTTAGCTGGCGGGAATTTGATTAAAATCTACATCTATTCATAAAAAAACAGTTCGGTTTCCATTTGTAACTTTTGATGGAAGCAAGTGCTCCCTTTCACATAAAAAAAAAAAACGCCCCGCCTAGCCACGATGTTGTGATAAATTACAATGCATAAGCATACGGAACATGTTGTTGACAGTTTATTCGTTACTGCTTGAATTTATTTTGCTACCTCGCAGTATTTGTGAAGGCATTGCTTGTTTTCTCTAAAGTCTTTGGGCCCGGCCTAAATATGCTTTTGTGTTCCCTTAACACCCCATTTGTACAAAAAAAAATACTTTGAATAAAGAAACTTCGACAACTTGTTTGATTCATGACTGTTCTTTCCAGGACTCTTATTGAGGGCGTTTTGAAAGTAATTCCCGAAGGCTTCATTGAGAAAGTGACGCAGGAAGAAATGCAGTATTTCTTGGACCTGTGCGATGGCAGGGACCCTAATAGAGATAAAAGCCGCTTCCAATCCTTCTTCGAATTCATAGGCAAGATATTCCAGAGCCTCTTCATATTTCCCGGTAAGTGTGGCTACTACGTATATAAATTGTGAAAAATACCTCGTTATTTATTTTACACAATAATTTTTCGCAACCTCTTTGGCTTACACTGCGTTTCCGTTACCTCATTCAGATCCCGTTGTCATAAACATTTCCTGGAATAAAGCACAGCGAAATTTTGTTCTTACAATCATATCTCCAAGATGAGCTGACTAAATAGCGGCACTTGTAAAATCCTCACATTGCGACACAATGTTCTGCTGGGGCCAGCGAAACACATTCTTGCAAGCTCAGGATTTGAAACTATTTCAGTATTTTTCATTTTTATATGTGTATGAGAAAACGAAAGTTTGAAAATCAAGAGGACGAATAACAAGTTTTACTGTGCTCTGCATACCTGAAAGGAGTCATGAAACGCTTTTTCAACTTTTCTCTGTTTAGCTTTCTTCCTCAACTCATAAATCGCGCATTGTACCAAAGAGTTCAAGAAGTCGAAAAGGGGGGAGTCCCCTCTTGCTCGGAATCTCGCTTTTGTATCCGGACACAGCTATTGTCCCCCTAGAAGATTAGCCCGTCGCTCAAAATTCCGACTAGTTGCTTTCCCCACCCCGTTCACCCCGAAGCTGACAGTGCTGTGGAAGCTACGTGCTCGTTGGGCCAGCCACACATTTTCCACGTGATCACGCTCTCTCGCGCATACCGACCCGCAGAGAATGAGGTCAGGTGATGAAAGGGAGGCGGCTGATTGGTCCGGCAAGCGCGTAGCTTCCACCGCAATGTCAGCTTAGGGGTAAAGGGATTAAGTGAGGCCCGGTGTCGTGTGACGTGCGCTTGGGCCCTGGTGACGCGCTGCGGGGGCCCGGTTATGGTGGCTAGTAGTCCGGTGACGCGCTGCGGGGTCCGCGGATGTATCACAGTGAAAAGGCGGAGAGTTTTCGAAGGGAAGGAGGTACGAAATAGTCCGCTATGTTTTGCAAATTTCCGTAGCCAAAGTCAGGCTTCTGACTCTCTACCTTTGTTCTTTTGGCCCACTGAACGATGTGCTATTAGTAAAATCCCAATATAAATTGATTTACTCCAGCCCAAAATTCGTTTCATGGGTCCTTTAAGAGGCTTCGAAGACACGGTTCCACATCTATGAATTCCTAAACAATAACTTCATTTTGTAGACCAACATACTGTTGACAAACACGTTCCCGTGTTCTCACACCAGGTATGGGCACTGCGCGCGGAGCCAGAGACGTGTCAAGTGATATCTATGCTTTGTAGTCAAGATGACAGCGAGCGTTTACCATATTCCTTTCACACCATCAAAGCTGTCGCTTATGGCGAACAGTATGCTGACACGCTGTTTACAAAGAAGTCAGGATTTTCCCGCATGAGTTGTGAGCGCCGCGTGTGCGCAGGAACCAAATTCATGTCAAGGTATACGTCTACGCATGCGCCGCGTCGACAACAGCGCCACCACAGCTGCGTGACGTCAGAGTCGTGTTTTTGTGTATTAGCGATGTCCGCGACCAAAAGCGTCGCTGCGGTCAGCTTTCCGTGATTGGCCAAACCATGGGCATATGAGCATTGTCAGATTGTCAACTTTGACGGTGTTAGTTCCGGTTACGATGGTTCCTAGCTTCCACTGTGCTTTTTAAACACACCACCGAACTCGTCGTCGCACCAGGTGGTAAGTAGCCAGGGTAACAACTGGTGACGTCACGGCGAGGCAAATCCCAGTCGCGACGTCACGGATGGAAACCATTAGAGGGCGCCACCGAAATATCTCGGCGCTAATATTAATCTCCTTCCTGCGTCGTCAGAGGCACGCGACTCATCCATTGAAAAAAATAAAGGCTCCACCGCTTCAAATAATGCGCGCACCTTTTAGTCGGTGGTCTCTTGTTCTCAGATCCAACCGCAGTAATTAGCGCGAAACACAACATTGCCGCTTTTCTGCAGTAAGTTTGTTAAATGCGTTGGCAGGCCCCATATTTTGACACTCAGATTAGTGTCCAAATCAACACCTTTATACGCACTAGTATTTTTGATTACTGCCCTTCGATGCTTTTAAAAGAGATACAAAAATACTGCGATCATTCATTCGGGTTAACAGTGTCATACAGTGTATATACAGGTACATATAGAGAATTGCAAGCAGGGCGACTGGCTGCCGCCATGTCTCTGCTCGTGCGGGAAAGTACGTGCAATTTCAAGCTTGCCAAAACTATTTTCACACGCGCACTGCACGTGCTTGCACGCATGGGGCACCAGTCGGGGCGCCATGCTCGCAATTGTGTATAGGCAAGTACCGTAAAAAAAAAAAAAAAAATCTACGAAATGAGAACAGCTCAACTTTTTGCGTATGTCGAAAAGGAAAGATGTAGAAAAGCAACACTGATTTTCATAAACTTCGGGTGTCTTGCTGTTTGAACTAACGTAGCAAGAGACCTGCCCGTTAGCGCACTGCTGGTCGAGTAACTTGGGACCATAAGAAGATATGCTGCTCAGCGCATCTTCCCGTCGTTCCGGTGCCAAGAAGTGACTTCGAACCAGAATCTACCGAAGCAGTCAGAGTTACTACGGCAGCGTGCAGCGCTTTCAGAAAGCTGAAGGCATTGTTCCAAGCGATGTTTGCACAGGAATCTTGTTGGAGCGATGTGGCTCGTTTTTAAAGACTCGATTTGCCCGGACGAGCGCTTCGAAGCTTGTTTTAAAGAGGCAGCACGAACTCCCGTTTCAAATACTCTTCCATGAAGGAGCTCCGGGCTCGGAGCGAAAATAAAGGTTTTCTCTCGCTCTCTTTTCCATGAAGACACCATCTTTACTAAAACCCGCTTCACGCGCTAGAAAGCGGAGCTCACGCTTACTCCCACAACAACGCTCAATCCCAGAGCGGGCCGCGCAGGCGTGCTGGCGACTCCGCCTTCGGCAGAGCGGAAAGGGAAAGCGAAAGCGGTCTACGGAAACTCTGATTAGAGACTTTTAGTAAACGGTTACCGTGTTCCACGTACCGGTCTCGCACACAGGACACTTTTTTAGTTTGTCATCGTCCCCTCACACATCCGGTATGGAGGACTAAAGAAAAAAAGTGGAAGCCGTTTACAAATCCCTGTAACGCCGAATTGGAGCGCAGCTCTTGAGGAGGAGGAGTGAAGGGTACTGAGGGGAGGGTAGACCCCTCCCCCTTCTCCTCCTCCTCCCCTCATTCTTTAATATGCTCCGGGGGGGGTGTCACGTGACTTCGGGGAGGGGGTCACGTGACCTCGGGGAGGCGTGACCTGGGGGTGACCTCAAGGCCACGTGACCCCAAAGGTGACCCCCACGTGACCTTGGGGTCACGTGACCTGGAGGGGTCACGTGACCTCGGGAGGTCACGTGACCTCAGAGGGGTCACGTGACCTCAGAGGGGTCACGTGACCTGGGGGTCACGTGGGGTCACGTGACCTTGAGATGACCTTGGAAGGGGTCACGTGACCTTGGGGGTCACGTGACCTTGGGGAGGCGACCACGTGACCTCGGGGGTCACGTGACCTCAGAGGGGTCACGTGACTTGGGGGTCACGTGACCTTCAAAGGGTCACGTGGGGTCATCTTGGGGTCACGTGACCTTGAGATGACCTTGGAAGGGGTCACGTGACCTCGAGGGGTCACGTGACCTTCAGGGGGTCACGTGGGGTCACGTGACCTTGAGATGACCTTGGGAGGGGTCACGTGACCTTGGGGGTCACGTGACCTTGGGATGACCTTGGTTACGCCGACGCCGACGGCGACGGCGACGGCGACGCCGACGGCGACGCCGCTCAAGCCGGGAACGGGCCCCTAAGAGCTGCGCTCTAAAAAAAAAGGAAAAGACCTTACAGCCCGGAGTAACTGGAAAAATATTAGAGTGAACAAAAGAATCAGCGACAGTCGAAGAAACCACCATTCTTCGTCTTATTATTATTATTATTCATTTATGTGAATGATCTTAAAGAAAACATCTTAAATTGTCATACATTTCAATATGCGAATGATATAGTTTTGGTTGCGTGTCACACCAAATACACATCAGCCGTACAAATACTACAACAAGCTGTCTTCACTGCTATGAACTGGTTTCGTGACAACTGTATCAAAGTTAACGCCTCAAAAACTAGTTTAGTATGCTTTAAAAATCCTTTATAACAAACTGTGACGAACATTCCTCTGTTCATTCATACCTCTGATTGTGCATCTTGTTCTTGTACGGCGGTTTCTTATGTCAATTCAGTTAAATACCTGGGAGTTTATTTTGACAGCGATGTTGCTTGGAACACCCACCTGTCCTATATTTGTAGCAAACTCAGAAGTACTGCCTGGCTTTTGTACACCATTAGACATCTTGCTCCAATCTGTGTGCGCAGAGCTATGGCCAGCAGTCTTGCATACGCCGTTTTAAGATGTGGAATTACTATTCTTTCCAATGGCTCCATAAGATGGCAAGTACGCGCATCGATAATATTCTGCGGAACTTACAGCGTGGCATACAACGGTGATTTGACAGAATACGGAAGTATCTTTGAGTATGTTGAGTTACCTTCCTTCCAAAAGTTGTTCGTGAATTCAGTAATGTTGCGCCACTTTTGGGTGGATGATTTAAAAAAAAAGAAGAAAAACTTAATGTCCTTCTGAGTTCTAAGAGATTGTCCTCGCTATGTTGTACCTCGTTCTTATACTCACTACGGACAAGCTACTCGTGATATTTATGTCCCGAAAATACTTAATTCGCTTCCTGATGACATTTTTTAACTCACCTCAATAAAGCAACTAAAAAAATTCCCAATTGATTGGATTCTACCTTAACCACTTGTTAATGTTTTCTTACCTTTATTTTGACCACCTTGTCGGAACCTTTTTATTTTACCTTTATATATCTGTGTAGTGTTTGTACCGGTCCACTGTGATTGACTATCTCTATCCGTGCCATGACTGACTGCCCACCGCCTCCCCCCTCCCCCCCCCCCCCCCCCCCCCGGACAACTATGATTGTTTATCGGTATTAGTTTGTTAACTAGATGTATATAATGACTTACTGCCTCTTCGGGGTCATGTCCCACAAGCCTACTTTGGCTTTGATGGGCCCGAAAATATCGAAGACAAACGTGAAAGCGGGATAAATATTATTATACGTATTATCATTATTATTATTATTAGTCAACTGTAAGCACAATCCAGTGGCTCAACGAGAAGAATGTGATGTTTTCCTCCGTATGGGAAGTTTCGCGACTCAAGATGGCGACGCTCGTGCGGAAAAGATCTATAAAAGATCACTTGCATCGTCGATTTCTTTTTTTCAGGGACCAAGTGGTGTGGAGCGGGTGATGTGGCAAAAAACTACGACGACCTGGGACGGAATAGTGGGACTGACATGTGCTGCCGCGCCCACGACCACTCGGACGACTACATCCCGGCACTTAAAACCAAGCACGGCATCACCAATAGAAACCTCTACACAATGTAAGCGCACGATGCCTAAAGAGAGTATCTTGTTTTCGTATTTATATTATATCTGTTAAACAGCTGTTGATGCAGTCTGGATTGGAATCTTCTGTCGCAAATCCCTTCTTCTATAGCTGTTTATCAAGAAGTGTAGCGTTCAAAAAGCGCGCCATCAAAATATGGTTACAGATCCTGCTCCTTAAATAATGACAGCAATTACACTAATCCCATTGAGCATCATGTGGTGGGAATCTACAACTTCTGGTAGTTATCATGAGCTCAGCCACAACACTTCTCTCTGGTAGAGTCTATGTATACTACGGCATCCATCCCACTGAGCGTCAGCATAGACGCAGGAAATGTTTTATGTGGCTCCTTGTTTTCTGTCTACCAGGACCAACTGCAAGGATGACCACCAGTTTTACAATTGCCTATTGAATGACAGCAGCCTCTCGTCTGTCGCCGTCGGAAAAATCTTCTTCAATGTCCTTCGCACCGATTGCTTTGCCTACACCTATCCTAAGAAATGCGTAAAAAAGAATCCGTAAGTAGTCTCTCTTCCCATGATTCTCAAATGGATGAGTCGCCAGAAAACTTCCTTAATACTTGAAGTCTCAAAACCAAAACAAGATTCCTTTGAATAATTCTCAAATTTTGAAAAGACTCTACATGAAGGTCTTCGTATTACATATTAACAATGGCTTCCTGTTCCACAAAACAAAAACGGTAACAAACAAACAAACACCTGCTCCTTGTTCTTAAAGTGGCCATCAAATTCTTTTTGCAGAAGCTTATTTTTGATGGCTAATTGTTTGGTGAGTTTTAAGTAAAAAAAGAGGAGTTCTGGATGGCAAGACGTCCTATAACTCACAGTATTAAAAATACAGAGTGAAAAGGTGGGTGGGGTGGAGCACTTCGGGTTTTCACTACCTCCATAAACTTTAACCAATGAAAATAGCTCATTCCGTGTACATTTCGAACGTTACCATTACTATTCGCGTGTTGTGTATTCTAGTCTGACAAGAACGTCAGATATTTCGGTGTAGGAGACGTAATACAACAATTATTGTTTGAAAACGCCGTCGGACATCGTTCCATGGTGTCTGCTTCATGGTTCAGAAAGAAGTACGTGTCACATTCTTTAATTATATTACTAAAAAAAAAAAAAATAGGCCGCGGATGAAGTGAGTTTGTGCTTTTTAGGATGATTAACTGTATTAATGATCAAGTCTTCACCAAGAAAGTCGTAAACGTAGGGAAATGTTTGAACAGCAGCAGAGGCTTTATTAGACGACGTTTCGGGAAAGGACTTCCCTTCTTCAAGTGTGAAGAAGGGAAGTCTCTTCCAGAAACGTCGTGTTATAAAGCCTATGCTGCTGTTCAAACATTTTCCTACGTTTTTAAAAGATGCTAAGAGCAGATATATAGAGTTATCCACTTGTATCCACTTGAGTTCTCTCTAAGTTACGTATAATGTCGCCGAAGAAAAGTATGTGCTTGTTTGTAACACTCCTTCAAGAGCTCGTCCGATGCTTATGCGGTTGAAACTCTAATATTACCAGAACCAGTCGGAAAAAAGTTTGGTGCTCCGTTTGCATAAGATCCTTTCGCTGTTTAGAAAAGTGTTTACCCAAGAGTCCAGCGGCGAGTGTTCGCCTTTTTATAAGGCGAGGGAAGCACTTGCCATCAAAAGTGCTAGCTGTCAGAAGCCCCTTTCGCAATAAGGTTTATGTACGCCTTCTTGGTACTTACTCAACTCAACTCACTGACGTCATTCCACTGCGGTGGCGCTGCTGTCGGTACTGCGCACTCGCAGATGCTTTGCTCCTCCCGAATTCGGTTTCTGCGATTGCGCAGTGCCCACGCCTGGTGTGGGCAAAGCTGGCTTGTTTGTGAACACTGTGTTGATGCATACAACACTGTCGAAGCTGCTGCCACGAGCCTGTATCTTGTTTTTAGCGTTCAATATACGCGGCCTCTGGCGCAAATAAGGCTCTAGGTGAAACCACGTGCTCGCGCCAGTAGCTCTGACATCGTTACGCGCCGAATATGTAAGAAAAAAGTATGCTACGAGAAACTAAAGGAGAAACTGAAGGAGAGGAGAGAACGCAGAACTGTGGTAGGAATGATTAGTGCATGAGTGGAGGCAAAGCCTGGTGCCTTTCTTCCTATTCGCATTTCACACACATTCGATTGCCAAACGCTAGTGTCCAGCCTTCCGCGTTCGCTTTTGAACAAGTTGAAAGAGTGAGTAGATACAAAGGCAGGGAGCCTTCACGTTGCGCTCTCATCTCGTTTTTTCTCTCATTTTCTTTTTTTTTTTATCAGGATCCCCATCCCGATACTGTTTCCAAGGTGTGAAAAGTACGAGCTTGACGAATCGGCCCCCAAAAAGTGGCAGATCTTCCCGCCTTCTAACTTCCTCAAGGACTACTTTGATAAGAAGCGGAACCAAACAAACCAGGAGCGCCCGACGGCTGCAGAGAACGATTCAGGAACGGATACCGAGAACGCAGGTGCTCTGGTCAACAACAAAGAACCCGTAGACAAGACAGCCCTTGGGAACGAAGACAGCTCTGGGAACCTTGTTGAAGCCAGTGATACCACCCCAGGCGCCTCTGAAGGATCAGTCTACAACAATTCGCAGGACGCGGTACCTACGGCGACGAAGTGATTACTTTTTTTTGCCTGACCTTCAAGGCAAAAACCAAGCTGACTTCCCAAGATCTAAGGTCTTGAGAGATCTCATTTACCGCGACAGAATAATATGTATATAGTTTTTTGTTTGTCTACAAAGCGGATGCACCGATGAAATGAAGCATAAAAGCGGCGAGGCATTTAAAATTATTAGAATTTTCACCTTCCCTAAAAATTGGGGCTGAAAAGAGAATCAATTATAGAAATGTAGAATTTCACAGGGTGATTATCTTACGCCTTCTGCCGCCCTGCGCCCTATATAGCTGTATCATTCACTTTCTTGTTCTTTTGTATTTTGTGGCGCTTTTTTAGCCCACTGGTCCAAGATTCCGTGAACCCATTGACCCAAAATGCCGTTTGAATGCAGTGATTGTTTTGAGCTGCTAAAATAAATACTGGCCGTGTTGTTTGTAAATCAAGTATATTGTGCTAACGGTGTCAAGTGTAAATGCTGGTTTTATTCAAACAAAATGAGAATCGGGTAGTGCTTTGGGCGAAGTGGTTGGGAGCATTTTCCTTTCATAGATTCTCATTGCTCATGCAATATTAAAAACCAGAAGAAGCTCCTTCAGTTTTCACGACGGCGCACGCATTTTCGTGGGATGTCGGCAGTTTGTCTACTCCAGGCTGAATGAAAGGTTTCTTATGACTATTTTTATTCTCGCTTAATAATATATTTGATTATATACTGTATATAAAGAAGGATAAAGAAGCTAGGATATACTTACAAAAGCTTCTTAACAATTTTGTTCCTGCTAAATTCATGATTTTAAAGAGAAGATGAAATGTTCGAATCGCTGTCTCACAGGGGATCAGGGGTGCTATGTTGCGCTTTTTGGACTCCCAGGAGCCTAGGGAGAAGGAAGTGACGTCAACGATACAGCAAACGCAGATTGGATGTTGACAGAAGAAAGCAAAATCAACATCCAATCTGCATTAGCTGCGTTGTTGACGTCACTTCCTTCTCCCTAGTCTCCTGGGAGTCCAAAAAGCGCAACATAGCACCCCTGCCCGTCGTAAAAATATTAGCGCGAAAGGCAAAAGTCAGTGGAGGACAGGGCAGGACTGGCTATTGTCCTGTAATGTGCTCCCTTGTCCTTTGCCTTTCGTACTAATATATATATATATATATATATATATATATATATATATATATATATATATATATATATATATTCTTTTTATGTTCAACCAGAATGGCCATCCAACTTAGTTTGATCTGCCCGTCATCGACAGGACGACGGCGCTCATAGTCTGCCGGAACGGGTAGCTGTCAGGCGTAGGTGTCAGGCCGTCTAGGTACGGTGGCTAGAGGGGGAGGTGTCAGAATCGGCGACCGAGAGAAGGAGTAGCCCGGTCAGGGTGAAACGGTGGAGCTGCTCTTGACACTGAGATGCGTCGTCCGCTCGCGTCCGCTGAGATTCGGGTGTTTTCATGTTCCGCGAGTAAGTATCCCGTGCGATATGCGCTCCCTAAAATACCTTTGAAAGTTAAACTATGTTTGTTCTTAAACTTTTGGTTCACGTAACACAAGAATGAACCTGCCAACGCTTTTATCGCCGTCGTCGTCTTCGGGAACGGCGAAGAGGGAGGCTTTCTTCTCTTTCTTTCTGGCATAAACAAAGTCCAAAGCAATAGAGAGTTTTAGTAGATCGTTCCGATACCTCCGATATCCCCGATAACGATACTATGCATGCACAAGGGAGGCGGTGGCGGAGTATCGGGTATCGTTATCGGAGTCATGAGAACGATCTACTAAAACTCTCTAATGTGTTTGCCGTTTTGCCATTGCGGTATAGTTTGGATACATGGGGCAATCTTCCCAGGAAGAGCGCCACAAACGAGCAGTCCTAGCGATGCGAACGAGCCTTCACTGGCGCGAGGTGTGCAATGAACTTGTTCCATATCTCGAAGCGCCTCATCGCGGCGTAATGCCACGTTATGCATGGTGGGGATCAGTGGCCAGCTTAGCAACATTCTGTGTGTCTATGCTGGAAAAAGCGGTGGAGAAACTGCAGCGTGACGTCTCCGGTGGGAGGAGCCTAATCTACGTCGCAAACAAGCTACATCGGAAGAGAAGTGCACTGTGACGTGTCCAGTGACGTCGCCGAACAGTGGCGATTGAGTTGAAACTACATCGTTTCTTTTTTCCCTACAGGGAATTTCGGAGAAATTGATTGATTGATTGAAAACGTTTATTGGCCATAAACTAAGGGATGAGGAATAAGGGCGGTGTCGGTGGTGACGGCGACCTGGACACTCTTGGCACTATGCTACATACTATATACACTACATGTGAACATTGAGTTTCACCTCAAAGATAAAGTCCAAGAGGCTGTTCAGAACGTTCACGTTGTCTGGTGGTCTTGGAGGTGGGCGCACCCATTCCTCCAGCGATATGATGTTTGTGGGCTTGTGCTTTCCCCTCAAGTCCTTGTAGTATGGACAGTTCCATAGAAGGTGAACAGTGTCCGCCTCTGCTGTTCCGTTGCATTTTACGCATGTGCCTGATCGTCCTTTACCCCACCGGGCAATCCGGGCCGGAGTGGGATTGGCGTTGGCTTGTATGCGAGTGAGGAGTACTCGTCCTCTTCGTCCTAATCCCCCTGGAAGGGGATCCGGATCCGAGGGCAGGCTTTCCCACAGGAGATGCTTGTATTCCTCTTTGATGCGAAGCTTTTCTTCACCGGGGTCGTAGTTATTTTCGTCCGCGGACTCGTGTGCTTGATTACAAGCGATGGAGTAGCCGTGGTCCAGCTGGTGTGAGGGCATAGCGGATTGCTCGCGGAGAGAGATAACGGCGACGCGAGCAAGCTGATCTGCCTTTTCGTTACCTTTAATTCCGGCGTGACCCGGAACCCAGCTGATAATAGTCTTCGTCGGCTCCAAGAGGAGACGAGGAGCAATTTTCTTTATTTTCCTCACCCTTCGGCACGGGCTGTTGGCTTTTTTAAATTCTGTGACTGCTTCCTTAGAGTCGGAAAAGATGTGTAGTTCTTTTTGTCTGGTGGTGGAGTTCTCCAGGACAGATTCTAGGGCCACTTGAATGGCCGCTAGTTCCCCTCCTCGAACTGTCATGCTAGTTGGAAGTTGCGTGCTCGCAGCGACCTGGATCTCCGGAAAGCAGGCTACTTCCGCCCCGGGGCCGTCGTTGCCGAGAGCAAAATCCGTGTATGCAGCGAGTATGGTACTTGGATTTGTCCTGAGCTTACCCAGGGGTTTGTGTTCCACGATGTCCAGCAAATCCTCCCAGGGGGGAAGCTGTTGCGGGAGTGCTGGCCAATCCTCTTGTTTACTGCCGACTCGGCAGAGAATCTCTCTGCCTTGTCTAAAGTGTTCCAGTCGGTCCCAGTGGGCCCGACCTCGCGCATGCACCGTGTCGTAGAGTGAGTTGAGTTGAGCCTTCTCCTTGAGTCTTGGAAGTGCCGTGTAAGCCGGTAGACCGATGATTACGCGCATCGCTTGGTGGTTTAGCGTCTCCAGTCTTTTCCATTGAGCTTTGGTGAGCCTGCAGTGAGTCGCGCCGTAGCAGACGCGTGACACCACGAGCGCCTTGACCATCCGCCTGGCCACTTCTTCTGTTGCTCCTCCTTTGCCGAGCAGATGCGGCGAATAACGTTCAGGGCCGAGTTGCATTGCTTGATAGTTTGTCGAAGCCAGAGGTCTGCTCTACCGGTCTCATCTATTAGGAGCCCTAGGATCTTGACTGATGGCGCTGCGACGATCCTCTTCCCTGCCAGCACCAGGCTGAAGGCGTTGGAAATCTTGGCTTCGCGTAGCCGTTTCGGGGCAAGAACGACGAAACTGGTCTTCTCTGGTGACTCTTGTAGCCCGACGCGGCGAAGATGATTCTCTATCGTGTCAAGGCCGGCTTGCAGCGTGTCTTATTGTTGGGATAGGCTAGATTCTCTCGTCCAGATTGATATATCATCTGCATATATCGTAAACCCAAGTTGTGGCACCTTGTCAAGTTCGTGTGGGATTGCTACCATGACTATGTTAAATGGCATAGGCGATAATACAGATCCTTGAGGTACCCCTACCCGGTTCGCCCTTGGTTCGCTGTAACTAGAGCCACATTGAACCGAGTACGTTCTTCCCGCAAGGAAAGCCCGTATAAAGTTGAGCGGTCTCCCGCCGAGGCCGAGTTCTTGTGCCTCGCGAATGACTGCGGCGTGGGGAACCGAATCAAACGCCTTCTTGATGTCCACCGTAACAATGGCACGCACGGCTTGGCGTGTGGTTGTTGTGATGACTCCCGCAGATATGAGCGCTAGGCTCCCCTGCGTGCTTTGGCCGGGCCGGAACCCAGTCTGCAGAAAGTGGAAAGCCTCGGTCGTCTCAAGGAGCCATTCGATACGCCGCAGAACCATTCTCTCCATGACCTTACACGTGCACGACGTGAGGGAGATGGGTCTATAATTTGCAAGGTCACCTTTGTCTTTCCCTGGTTTAGGAATGGGAATCGCTGCAGAGTGTTTCCAATCTTGCGGTATTTGTCCCGCCTCCCAGATCTGATTTATCTGGCACAGAAGCTCTTGTCCGATGTGGTCAGGTAAATTCCGTAGCATGTTCGTGGTGACTTGGTCGGGCCCTGGTGCGGTGTTGGCTTTCCCAGAGTGCAGGGCGCTCTCCAGCTCTCCCCTTGTGAATGGTCTGTCCAGATTTGAGTCTGGTGCAAGCACTTCTTGCGCTTAGGAGTCATAGTCAGAGGAGTCGGCCGCCGGTTGCGGAAAGAACAAGTCCCCCGCCATGACCGTCAGCTCCTCTTCCGTCTTTCCCATCTTGAGTGCAAGGGTGCCAGTAGCAACCTTTGTCCTCTTTTTTCCAAGCATGGAGCGGCTGGTGGCCCAGAGTCGAGCCACCGACGTCTTCTGGGAAAGCGTCGAGCTGTAATCTAACCACCGCTGAAGCCCAAGCTTCTGGGCGTAGACTTTAGCCTCAACCGTCGCTCGCGTAATGCTGCGTCTTTTGATTGGAGTGTGTGGTCCCTTTCTGTAGGTCTGCACCGCTCGCAGGCGGTGAGCCCAGAGCTGCAGCAGGCCCAAATCGGGTGTAGGCCCGTCTTCATCAACTTTGGTCTTGATTGTGGCTTTTTCAATGGCGCACCGAAGTCTTAGATCTAGGGGGGCAGCCTCCATAGTCTCGTCCTTCAATGTTTGCCTGAACTTATCCCAGTATATTGTCTTAACTTGTCGTTTCTGCGCTGGCCCATCGCGTGCCTTCCGAGTCAACGAAAATTGAAATGTGATTGGAAAATGATCGCTCCCCCAGTTTTCCGGAAGGCACTTCCATTTGTGATGTTGTATGTAAGGATTTGCTACCCAAGTAAGGTCCGGGGTAGTGTCCTTCTAGGCGGCGCCACCGATCCTCGTCTTGATTCCTTTTTTATTAGTTAGATGCATCTGGTAGTTGGTCATTTCTTCGATGAGCTTTTCCGCTCCGCCTCCGCTGCTTGCGTAACCCCAAAGAGTGTGCTGTGCGTTGAAATCTCCTCCGTACAACTTGTGGTCCCGTGGGTACAAGTTGTGCAGGTAAGCCACCCAGCCGTAGTCTC